ATTGAGTCCTGACTCCAGGACATAATGACATTGTCTGGGTGTGTTCGTCTGGATGAGGGAGATGTCTGGATGAAGACAACACACCAGAGACATTGGCTCATAGGTCATAAAACGTAGCTGGACATAAAAAAATGCCAAAGGCATCGTAACCAGCAGTTTTCCCATGGTTAAGGGGGATTGTTAGGCAGGACACAAAAAGTATTAAAATTATATACATATAACCCATATGGAAGAAAAGTATACACATATACACTATATGGTCAAAAATATGTGGACACCTGACCATCAAACCTGTATGAGCTTGTTGGACATCCCATTCCAAAACCATATACATTAATATAGAGTTGCTCCACTCTTTCACTCGTCAGAAGGTTTTCCACAAGATTTTTGAGGGTATCTTTAGAAATTTGTGCTCATTCAGTCAAAAGAACTTTTATGAGGTCAGGCACGAGTTGGACGAGAAGGCCTGGCTCGCAGTTTACATTTGAATTAATCTCAGAGTTGTTTGAGAACTCTGGGTCTACATGAGTCAGGCAGTAATCAGATTTCTGCTTTACAACCAGCCAATAAACTCACAGAAGAAGACGTGACGTAAACTTTTTGTGAAACGTTGCGCCACTTTACCTGAAACTATGAACCGACACTGCTTGCTTATTTCTGGTACCGCCATCTGTTTTTATACATGCGCAGACTGAGAAATCTAAAAGAAATCAGAGTAAGAGTTCACATGCACTGAGAAATCTGATTTCTGAGCTAAAATCCAGCGTCTTTATCGGATTTCTTAATTGGGTTTCTAGATCGGAGTGTGATATTTACATGACCATTTGAATTATCAGATAACTGCAGAAATTCGTTTATGATTGGATTATTGCATGCATGTAAGCACACTCAGTGTCAATTAATGTGATAGTACATTAGTTTTTACTAGTGTTTACTGTTTGCAAGTTTGTCCTACATCTACGTCTGTCTGTCTGATGTCAGTTCTGGGTATGTTTTTGTTTTTTTGTTTTGACTGTTTGGTTTGGCTTCTAATTCCCAACTGAATAATTTATAGCTAAATAAGTTGGTGTGGTGGGAAACAAAACTCAAAAACACATAAATGATGATATTGTTCTTTATATGAATGTTTTTATGATAATAGACACCGGTCAGCCATAACCGTAAAACTGTCTCCTTGTTTCTACGCTCATTGTCCAATTTATCAGCTCCACTTACTATATAGGTGCACTTTGTAGTTCTACAGTTACAGACTGTAGTCCATCTGTTTCTCTGCATACTTTGTTAGCCCCCTTTTACCCTGTTCTTTAAATGGTCAGGACCCCACAGGACCACCACAGAGCAGGTATCATTTGAGTGGTGGATCATTCTCAGCACTGCAGTGACGCTGACGTGGTGGTAGCGTGTTAGTGTGTGTTGTGCTGGTACGAGTGGATCAGACACAGCAGACTTGGGCCCAATCCCATTTCACCCCTTGCCCCTACCACTTAGCCCTTGTTTTGCGCATTCACATCTAGGGTTAGGGTGTCCCAATTTTTGTTGAGATAGAGGGGAGGGCGAAGTGTTGGGGCTACATGGCCCTCCAAACAGAGGTTTTTCGGAGACTCCAAACAGAGTGTTATGAGAAAAAAGAAAAACCGGCAAGATGGCGGTGCGAGCGACCAAAAAAACCCACAAATGTGAGAATTTTCTCCATTAAAAATTACGATAACCACTGAATTATCTTAGTTTAATGTCGTTTCAATGTATTATGGTCGTTTTCTTCATAACAAGCATAAAAAATCGCTAATAGCATGCTAATGTCTCGGTAGCTAGCTCGCTAACTTTCCTGTTCCGCCTTAAATAGTCCAACAGTTCTGACACCTGAAGCGCCAGAATGTAACTGTTGCACCATTTAAGGTGGAACGGGAAAATTCGAACAAGAAGCTGGTGAATATCTGACTTCAGATTCATATGACTGAAAAATTAGTGGTGGGTGATAATAAATAATAGTCCCCCCTCTTTGAAAGCATACGATGCCCTAAATGTAACTAAAGCCCAGCAGTGAGGAGCTGAACTTTACCCTCCTCTGCTATCACTGAAGACGGGCCGGGTCGCCTATAGAGCACTATTAGTAGCTGTTAATGAAGTAATGTTTTTTTTTATTTGAGGGTCCCGTTTCATAGGGCAAGATTTCAACCACTACCCCTTGTAACACAGTTCCGAGGGGTTGGGGTGACAATGGAAAACAAGGGTTAGGGGTAAAAAGAAGAAATGAGATTGGGCCTTGATGTCAGTTCAACTTTTATTTAGTAACATTTGAGATGAAACTTCAATGACTGTCTATACAGACATGTAAAAATGCTTGTTGTCCGCTTGTAATAAAACAACATAACCTATGCTTATGATGAACTATGAATTCATATATTTGGGCTTTAAAAAAACTTATTAGCAGATTTCTGTCTATAATACAAGGCATCAAAACTTGTGGATTCAAATGGCATGGAATAACTTTTTTATGGAATGACCCCCACATGAAAAAGACCTATGGGAAGAATTAATATACAGAACAGATATGTGGGATTTTAGCCTGAGTGAAAGTTTTTCAGCTCATGTTGAAAAATTAGTGCCCTTCTCTGTTCCACAGGCCACACACACATACACACACACACATACACACACACACACACACACACACACACACACACACACACACACACTCTCTTTTATTAGGCACTAAGTAGTCTGAATGTTACTCTAAATGTTTGCAGTGCTGAGTGCATAATACTCTGTTGTAATGAATCTCCAGAGCAGCCCATCATCCTTACACTAAAAGCTATTATACTGGCTCAGTACTTAAAAGAAACAAGCAGAACACACAAACAATCACACACACACACTCCCGCACAGTGGAGGGCTGAAGTGTGGGAATGCTGCGTTTGGGCCAAAGTGGTGTCCAGCCAAGCACTTTCTCTGAGCTTTTGCAGCAGCGGTAAAAAACCAAGCAGTTCTGACCTTTGGAGCTGTGCTGACGTTTAGATTTCTTTTGTGAAGTAAGAGTTTGTGTGTTTGTGTATGTGTGCACTCCTGTGTTACTCTGTAAAACCTGCTTGTACCAACTGCGCAAGGAAAAACCTAATAGTCCTTTACAGTAATTTATTTAGAAAGGAGTTCCAGTAAACATCATTTAAAGCTGCACTATGTAGGATTTCTGTTAAAACTGAAAGAAGTAGGATTCAGCACTCAGGAAGAAAAAAAACATGCAAAAATATGGTGGCCAAGCTGAGGACATGTTTAGCTGTTGTGGCTGTTGGGACAACAGTAGATCACGTTCTGATTTGTCCTCTGTCGCCGTGTAGAGTACTGATAATATTTTGATTGGTCCTCTATTGCCCCCCTAGAGTACCGATCCCCTTCTGATTTGTCCTTTATCGGCACATAGAGTACCGTTAATATTTTGATTGGTCCTCTGTCGCCCCCTAGAGTACCAATCCCCTTCTCATTTGTCCTCCATCGCCGCGTAGAGAACTGTTAATATTTTGATTGGTCCTCTGTCACCCCCTAGAGTACCGATCCCCTTCTGATTTGTCCTCTGTCGCCCTCTAGAGTACCGATCCCCTTCTGATTTGTCCTCTTTCGCCACGTAAAGTACTGATAACATTTTGATTAGTCCTCTGTCGCCCCCCTAGAGTGCTGATCCCGTTCTGATTTGTCCTCTATTGCCACCTAGAGTATGAATCCCATTTTGATTTGTCCTTACTTGCCCCCTAGAGTACTTATCCCATTCTGATCTGTCTTCTATTGCCCCCTAAAGTACTTAGTGTTTTAAGCACTACAGTAATGTGGAACACAGGGTTTGTGACGCAGGTCTGTACATTTGAAGTTGAGCATTGTCATTTGTGTTCTCATACGTGCGTTATGTTTCTGGCCTAATCCAGATTCTACAACTTTGCCTCTTCGATTTAGGAAATGAGTCTAATTCGATAATTCATACGTGCGATATGTAAAATCCCCACGCACAGCGCTGCAGCATATGTTCTAAGCTAAGTTATGATTGGACAATTGGTATTTAGGAAAGTGGCTTCGTTTCTCAAACTAAACAGAGACGGTATCTCGCAATGCACAGTCAAATAAAGTGGTCTGCCCAAAAGACATTTTATCCAACCAACAAGAAGAGCAGGATGTGATGTCAACCAATATACACCAACCAGCCACTTCATTAAAGGGGACCTATTATGCCCTTTTTCCATGTTCATAATTTTATTTTTTTGGATCTACTAGAATAGATTTACATGCTTCAGTTCTCAAAAAACTCATACTGAACATCTCTATTCACCCTCTGTCTGAAAGGCTCTGTTAGAGACCCTGTGTCTATAAGCCCCCCTTTCAATGAGCGCAGCATGCTCTGATTGGTCAGACCAATCAGAACAATTTTTATAGTGTGTCCACTCTTCAACACATCTATCTTGTTGGTCCACCTTGTAGATGTAAAGTCAGAGAGGATAGCTTATGTGTTGCTGCACAGTTAATGTTAGTCGTCCTCTAGTCCATCATAGGATGCTGCCCACAGGACGCTGTTGGCTAGATATCTTAGGTTGGTGGACTATTCTTAGTCCAGCAGTGACACTGAGGTGTTTAAAAACTCCAGCAGCACTGCTGTGTCTGATCCGCTTGCACCAGCGCAACACACACTAACACGCTACCACCACGTCAGTGTTACTACAGTGCTGAGAATGATCCACCGCCCAAATAGTACCTGCTCTGTGAGGGTCCATGGGAGTCCTGACCACTGACCACTGGGGCTAACAAAGTATGCAGAGAAACAGATGGACTACAGTCTGTAACTGTAGAACTACAAAGTGCTCCTATATGGTCAGTGGAGCTTATAAAATGGAGAAAGCTTCCCAGGAATACTCATGTTTCTACTTTCTATCAGTGTAACTCTATGACCTTTTTACTTTCATGTGTGCCTGAGGCTTAATGATCTCTCTCTCTCTCTCTCTTTCTCTCTTTCCTTTGTCTAGTGGGATGTTTTTTGATGGAAACCACACATACATGATTGAACCAGGAGAGGAGGGCAATGATAGCGTAAGTACAGCCTTGTTTCCTGCACTCACCCACACGCATCAAAGAAACGCCTGTCACAATTATTACATAATTGCCTGATCGCAGTTATTTAATTTGACCACGGTTATTTTCCACAGTTGTTAGCTTTCACAATCCTGAGTTTCTGTCACATGTAAGATGTGAACGGGGTTCGTTTTCATGCATCAGGTTGAGGCAAATCTATGTGAATAAAAGAAAGCAGAAATGGTGTTTATCGAGACACGTCACAGGTCTTGCGAATACAACTGAAGTTCTAGCTTTTGACTGAGGCTGTAACGCATTTAGAGGAGCAGCGGTGAGTGATGTTGGTTTTTTCATGCTCAAGTTGTTTCTGTCTTCATCTGGGAGCTACTAAGGATTGACATCTAGGAAGCAAGATAGCTAATTAGCCAGCTTGGCAACTTTAGGCTTGTCCAAAAAAGGTTGGGACAGTAGGTAAACATACATATAAAAACAGAAAGAAGTGATTTTGAAATCTACTTGTATTTCAACCAAAACAGTGCAAAGACAAGATATGTAACGTTTTATTTTTACTTCGTTGTTATTTGTGACAATATGTTCATTCTGAATTTGATGCCTGCAACACATTCCAAAAAGCTGAGACATTTAAGAATAGAAACATTGTGACATGTTCTAAAAAAGCATCTTAAACAGGTGATGCACTCATGCTTAGGTTTAAAAGCAGCATCAAGAAAAGGCTGAGTCCTTTATGAAAAAGGATGGTTGAGGCTCACCACTTTGTCAGAAATGTATGAGCAAGAAATCCAGGTTTGACAATAATGTTCCTCAGCCAGGGATTGTGTTTTACGTATTTCACCCTCTACAGTGCAATTCAGAAATCTCTGTGCATTAAGGAAAAGATTAAAAACCACAAATGCATGTCCAACACCTTCGACCCCTTAGACGGCACTGCATAAAAAACCAGCATGCTTCTGTGTTGGATATCACTGAATGGGCTCAGAAATACTTTGAAAAACAGTTGTCAATAAACATTATCCATCGCTGCATCCACAAATGCAGGTTAAGACTGTACTGTGCACAGCTGAAGCCGTATTTCAAAAGTATCCAGAAACACTGCCGACTTCTCTGGGCTCGAGCTCTTCATAACAGGACTGGTGCACAGTAGAAATCTTTCAAATTATAACTGGATTGGTGCACAGAGGCAACCTTTCAAATTATTTAGGAAATAATGGACATTATGTTCTCTGGGCCAAAGACGAACAGGACTAAATCCAGATTGTTACCAGCATAAAGTTCAAAAGCCAGGGTCTGTCATGGTATGGCAGGTTATTAGTGGGTACATCTGTGAAAGCACTATTAACACTGAGACATTTTTGGGCAACATATGCTGCCTTCTTGATGCCGTCTTTTTCAGAAGGGTCTATGCTTCTTTCAACATGACAGTGCCAAGTGTTACAGCATTTACCAGATTGCCCTTAATGTCGTTTTGGTCCAGCCAGTCTGTGAATCATTTCACAGCCCTTCTTGCCTGCAGTTTGTTTTAGTTTGTTTCTGTTTTTTGCTTTTTTTTGTTCCAGTTTGCTTAGTTGTCTGTTGTCAGACATTGAAGAATGGTCATATCTAAAATACAGTTATCATTCATGCTAACCAAGAGGGCATTTGTGCAGTCTGAGATTAAAAAGCCAATGGCCTGGATAACATACGCTTACTTTCCCGGTCCAGAAGTGGTGAACTCCATGTCAGTGCCTCCAGTGGTCTTCTCTAAACAAGTTTTCTGCTTATGTTGCTAACTGAAATGTTGGTTTGCTCATGTGTGTTCAAAGCAGCTTATCCTTCATTTTTCCCTGGCCGGGAGCACTTAAGCGAAAGGAATGACCCAGAGCTGAAGAGCTAAAAAAACAGGGGGCTATTCCTGGCTGCACAGGTCATATCATAGTCCATCACTTAATCAATAACGACATCTGAGCCTTTAGTTCCGTGTCAGCAAGGCTACTGCTATTAGCCACTAATGGCTGCTAGCGCTAGCAATCTTAATATAATGAGACACAGAGTACAAAGCTGGGCTGGTTCTCCTGTTCCTGTTATGCTTTATAGGACTTAGGAGTGTTGTTCTCACCCGGTGAGGACTGGAGGGAGAGATGTCATCTCTCGACAGTCATATAATGATACGATTCATTAAAAGATTGAGACTGCTAATCTGATTTAGCCGTCAGCTGGCTGACTAATTATGGCAGTTGGGAGAGGTGGACTGTGCAGCTTTGTGGTGCAACGGAGAGGGACGAGGATAAAGAGTTACAATGTCAGACGTATCCGTTTACCATGAGCTGGGCATCTTAATAAGAGAGGAGAGACACAGAGAGCGTGTTGAGGCCAGTTAGCACAGTGTTTCTGAAGTGCCGTTTAGGCCGTCTGATGAAACAGATTGGCCTCCATTTTAATCGATGTTTCATTCCGCACCGCCTCTGCGAGACGCATGACTTTCATTCATCGAAATCCCACCCCTTCCGTTCGGCTGTTGTTTTTTAGTCTGTTTTTTTTTTTACCAGCGCATGAGTGAAGCGTGAACTCCATAGAGATCCATTCAAATCACACATGCCCACTGTAACTTCATTTAAAGTGATGATTAACTACAATCTTATGATCTTATTGGACCAGTACTAGTACTAGTACATAGTACTAATGGCCTTTTACCAGAGGGGAACCCTCAGGGCCTTCTAGGCCTTTAGAGATGACCTAATGATTTCTGGCCACTAAAGAATACATGTCTGTTTTTGATGGACTGCCCAGCAGGCCAGCCTGCTGAGTCACTGACTGACTGACTGAGTGACTGACTTTTATTTTAAAGCTTACTGTTTAATTAGAAAAGGCCTGAAGAAACAAAGAGCTGATATTCCCGCAGAAGTGCTTACTGTACAGAAACGAGTCAGAGACAGTGTGTTAACACCTCTCGTCTAGTGTGGATTCCAAGTAATGGAAAGAGAAAGGAAAGCCAGAGAGGCTCTAGAATCAGAGAGAAAGAGTCAGAAAAACTGAAAATAACAGTGACATGGAGTACAACACCAAATACCTGCTACTTTCTTAAAAACCTACCTGGTAGCTCCACCTTGCTGGTGTCCATTTAAAGACTGTAGCCTCTCTGTTGATGCACAATTTGTGTAAGCCATGCTGTAGCCAAGGGGTTCCCAAACTTTTGAAACTTGCAGCCCAAAGGCTCTTTGTAAAAACATTATACAAACACATTTGAACTAAATTAAATGGAGTCTAATCAATTTCACTATATAATCATGTAGTATATAATAAAAACATAATAAATACATGTTCTGTTTATAGCCGTTTATCCATAATGGAGGAATTCCATGCATTTTGCCAGACCAATCACTGTGTGCAACTTAAATGTTTAGGTATCGTTGATGCTTTATTTTTGCAAATAATTATCACAATAATATTTGTCATATTCAATGATGGTTGGGTTAGTTGCTCTTGGCTGGATATGTTTGGATAGTGGACCTACAGGTAGACTTACTTATTGCCTGGAGCCCCTGAACACAACATTTCACATTTGCATCACTAAAAAGGCAGAGCCTGTGGTCCGAGTGCTCAATTGCTTTTGGGATTTTTTGTGTACTTTTTCCCTTTTAATTAGATTTTGTCAGATTTTGTCACAGATTGTTAACTGTAACTCCCACAACTGCTAATACTGCAGTGTGTTAAGTGTGGTTGTCCCCATTGCTTGGCTGGCCCACCTGACATTGTAGATGCTGTTCCATTGGCTGAAGGTTGCCAATCTTTCAATAAAATAAGGTGTTAAATGTCGCTGCTGTCGGAACAAAACCTTGTATTTCCAAAATGGTAACTTTACAGGAGAAGGAAAAAACATACTTTACTTTTAATGTAAGTCAGTGGAGCCAGAGTTTTTTCCAAGTTATTCTGGGCTGTTTCTTTTGGTCCATTCATCATGAAATTCACACACAATATGAAGGACAACAGATAGTTTCAAATTATGTCAAAAACTGAAAAACGGCAAAAATGGAGATACGAGGTTTTGTTTCGACAACAGCGATGTGCTGGTGTTACTCTGAGAGGATATCACTGCAGTAGGTAAGCACTACCTTATTAAATAAGCTAGCTCGGCTGACTTCAGGGGGACCAGCTCAGGAAAGGGGCCCACCACAGTCACCACCATGACAAAGTTCTTATTAACATAAAGTTTTTATTATTTATTATTATTTTTTTTTTCTTTCCGAAGCAAAACATGACTGGTTGTTGGTACTGAAGCATGCTTGTTAAGTGTAAATACAATGAATATGGGTCATTCTACTGAATTGGTTCAAAAGCACTTTTGGGCTTTAAATTGACTTGTACTTGGGTTTATTTTATTGAAACGATTGAATATTTTTTCACTAACAACTCAATAATAACACTACCCAATGTATTTGTAGAGACTGTTTTGGTAGTAACAATTTTAGCTAATACTGAGCAAAACTTAAATGACTAGCCACTGCGTGACTAGTAAACACAGCTTTGAACAGTTGCAAGTTGACTTAATTGCAGAAAATCTGTGTTTCAGTAGTGAGAATTCTTAATGTTACACACTGATTTTCAAACTTTGGGACACATTTACTTCAAATCAATTGAGATCTAACTGTTCACCATGTGGCCATGATAGACAGGGATGCAGTCTCAGTTCCTGCTCTAAAATGCAAGACAATTTGTGTTTCGGTAGTGACAAAAACGTGGGCCAGCATTTTTTGAATGAAGCTTTTTTATTTAAAAAATAAACTCATGAAAATTTTAAATATTTCAACTTCACTTTGAAATAAATCAAAAAGACCTTTTAAAAAACAACACAGAAAAAAATGCAAAAAACGTAAGTTTTCTTTATTTTTACAAGCTAAAATTTAGGGGTTAGGGTTTGGGATAGACGCCTCCAATAGAAAGTAGACTTTAAACAATGATTTTGTATATATTTAGCTTATTACTATCTCAGTTGATGTCTTGGGTTTAAATTAGATCATAACTTC